GATGTATAAGAACCGAAACAGTTGAAGAGCTTTATGACCAATCTTCAATCATTAAAAAAAACTGTAGTTTTGTTTTTTTTCGTCTTTGCAAAGTTTATTTTCTTTTATTGTAGATATTGGAATTTTTGATATTTTTAACGGACTCGGATATTTGCCGATCTTAATAAAATCATTTATGATGCTATCAATGTTTTTGTTCGACAAGGACGTGAACTTTGATATGTTTTGTGAAAATTGCAACGTTGGATCTAAACCTATTATATTTCATTTATGGGATACAATTATTTTATTTTTCTTAATTCTGCTCGAAACGGATCCCTTTTGGATTTAAATTCCTGTATTTGTCTCGGTTGCTTCATATATTCCATTCTTCCAAATAAGGAGTTAAAGAAAACGGAAAATCCCTTATCAAATAGCAAAATCAATAGCTCAAACACATCAAACGAATGGAAAACAACTGTCATATTCCTAACTTAGTATTGGCATTTCCTTATGTAGAAAATGTGGATTAGAGGGCTCAAATGATTTTTATACTGGACAGTGGTCACTTCATTGTAAATTTCAGTTTCACGTGAAATTAATGCACAGGAACAATGCATAACAATGGACAAAAACTGTGTAACTACTTTTACAAGGCGAAAAAAGAATGTCGAATCGTGTAACAAGTAAACAATTTTATTTTACTGTGACTTGACTGTAAGTGTTGCTCTCCACCTATTGCAATTTATTCAAAATTCTGACCAAATTGCAATTTGTTTTATAAAAATCAAACTGTTCAACTGGTCAGAAATTTGGACAAACTGCTGTAGAAAACCAGAGTCAAGTCGTGAAAGTGCAAGGTGATAATTTAAAGCATACTTAAATTCTATAAGACTTTAATTCCACTTCAATGATGTTATGAAAAATCATTCTAACAATTTTTATACAAATTTGATTGTAATTATCATGCTAAAAGTGATAGGTAGTAATTTTGAATTGCTATAAAAATGTCCAAACTAAGCTTTCATACAATTTTTCTTTCGAAAAGTCTTCTATATTCATAAGAATCAGACATCATTTGAATTAAAACATCTTATATTTAGTAAAATATATGTGAAATTACAATTCGTTGTTAATAAGTTTCCATGGGAGATAACCTAAAATCATTATTCTTTTAAATAAAGAAAACTTTTCGAAAGAAAAATAGATTATCTCCCATGGAAACTTCCTAACAACGTATTGTACATAATGGTGTTTGTCTTTATTAGATACAGAAATAATTTCATTGTCAGTCAAATATTTGAGACATACTTATTTACTTTTCATGGTTGGTATTAGGTTGTCATGAGAAATTTGGAAGTCTAGTATCATAAATGATTTATTTTCGGTTGAACAGAGTAAATTAAGAAAAAAAGTAGTTTTTCATGTTCAAACTGCATCATTTGCATCTTTTTCCTTATATTTATTTCAGCAACAATGCTATCTCATTTGAACGAGTAACATTCGTAATCTTTTTTTTTTTACAAATCATTTCTAAATGAAATAAATATGAAAATATTTCTTTTTTTTATCATATCCTTTTGATCGATTGTTATTCAATAAGAAAAAAATCCGATTGCTTTTTAGAGGAAAAAAGTAAAAATTCGATAAAATTCACAGTTTAGTAACATATTTAGATCGCTGTTTGATTTTTGACTGTAAAGCGAGGACTTAAGATTATGTGCTGTCGCTTGATATGACAATTGATTCTTATGTTGACAATCATTCTTAACATTTATCTTCTAAACAAACGTAAGTTGACAAAAGAGACAAAGGGGCCTCGGTTGTCGAGTGGTTTAGGCAGTTTAGTTACTGAATCATTAGCCTGTCAACACTGATATTTTGAGTTCGAGGCCAACATGTGTCAGGTGTGTTTGGCTGCACTCTTAATTGGCTAGGAGTGCCAATTTCCCTCCGAAAGGTCGATGATTCTCTCCGAGCACTCGCGTTTCATTCGCCAATAAAAAATGGCCGCCACGAAATAGCAAATACTGATGATAGTGGTAATAAACACCAAAAATCATCAAAAATAGGAAGAAGATACATAAGGGAGGATAAAAACTCATAAATTGAAAAGATGACGAAATCATGACAAAAAACGAAAGAAAACGACAAAAGGACAACGAAAGTTTACAAAACACAGCATAAAGGCTAAAAACTGAGTAACACAAACACCACTTAAAACCGGGGTTCTCTCGGGTGACTGTAGAGTACAATAACTTTTGAGCTTCATATGTTTTAAAAGGAATACTTGTTGGTTTGAAAGTGATGTTAAGAATCAAAAAACAATCTCAACTTTACCTTTTCATGACCGATATTGTTATAATGATGTGTGTATACTTACTTAAAAAAAAAAACGATTCTGCGAAAAAGATGAGCTAGAGAGGCATAAGATATCAAAGGAATATTCAATCATAAATAAAAAAAACTAACTGACAATGCCACCGCAAAAAAACGAAAAATGACCCAAAGACAAGCTACGTTCATAAAACACAAAATAGAAAACTAAAGGTTGAGCAATACGAATCCCACAGAAAACAACGGGAATGATCTCAAGTGTTTCGGAAGGTAAAGCAGAATCTGTTCTATATGAATCAACCGTTGTGTTGCTCGTGTAAGTACAAACCTGTTAATAAGTTTAATACGGTTGGTCACATTCAAGGAAACGAGGTCGGGATTTTTTTACTTGATATATTAGTCTCCACGACATGTATCATTGATTGAAAAGAAACTGCACAAGGCTACAAAGTAATAATCTGAGGTTTTAAGTGCGGTTGGAGGTTTCAATCTATTTCCTGTGTATGTCTTTTAACTATCAATGATTATCTTATACTCGCAGATACTGAAAAAAAAAAAAAATTCAAAGCATACTGCAACTAAAAACTAAATCATGTTTCAAAGAATAACATATTAATCAATACACATCCAACGGATTTAGTGTAACAGTCTGAGAAAAAAAAATGACCTTGGGCAATGCAAAAATATAAACTTCAACAGGATGTAGGACCGTAAGTGTATATAAAAATATAGAAATACATTTTCAGTTATGATTTAATTTATTAATATCAAAATCAATGTTCGTACCGATAAAAACAATATTCAAAGATCGTATTATAGTGTTAAATATATGAACTTTTCGAATACGTTTTTAATGTGTATATTTCACTTTTCGTCTTGTACTGATGAAAGCTTGATTGACTTTTTGATGTCTTCTTTTTTTTCGAATCATAAAAAAGTTGTTGATTCTCCCTTTCAAATAAAATATACTATCGTCTGGTTCATTTTTTTGTAAGATCATGCTTTTATCATAGTTCATTATTCAATTGCAAGAAATTAAATCAAGGATTCATAAACAAGTTCTTAACTCTTCTTGAATTAAAAAAAATAAAAATCAAATTATCAATCTAATACCAACAATTATTAGATGTGCAATTTGTTTACCCTAAGCTTTCAGAAAGTTGGTCTAACGAATTGGTCAAATTTATCTTTTGAAATTGTAACAAAGCATATCGATTTACACAAAATGCACAGAAACAAACGAAAAAACTATAATGTTTTAATGTTGAAGTGTCCAATCAAGTATTAATCTTTCATAATGAATTGGTAAACATCGGTACATCATTCTATAATTTCAAATTGCCTGGTTAAGAAAATGTATGTTATTAATTATCATAAATATCAATACACAAGTATTCTCAGGCTGGTATTTGACAATGTTTGAGGTATTGTTTGAGATGGATACTGTTTAAGGTTGCATAGATTTAAATTGTCAAGTTACGTATTTTTAAAATAACAGCAATTTTTTTTTCAATTTTTACATTGTTCATAGAATAACTCATTAAAATGATTTTTTGCACTGAAGTCAAAATTTGTTTAAAATGTAGCTTACGGAATTTGCTAATCTCTTTCAGTTTTAGATGTTAACCGCCAATAGTTTCGACCAAAAGAAAATTCTTCTAGAGTTGGCCAGTCAAATTTACGACGGTTCGTAAAATTGTGAAAATTAAAAGGGAACAAAAAACGCCCCCCCCCCCCCCCCCCCAAAAAAAAATGCATATTTTGATGGTACCAAGACTATTTCATTATTCATTTTTCCTGCCCGCCTGTAAGTGGCTGTGGTATTCAGTGTTACCAAATATCCGTCCTTCCGTCAAATTGAAATTTAACAGTTTGTCGCTGTCTTCGTTATTTTGACAGCATACAGCATATAAAACGTTTTAAAAATTGTAATTTTCCAGACAATTTTCGTTTAACACTAAGATATTAGGCTGCCTATAGTTTATTAGTTCATAGTGGTAAGTAATGAAGTTTGCCTTTTGGTTCCGATTTACCTACATTGCATTGAATGACGGATTGAGTGATTTTGTCATTCCAATTAGGTGACATATTGAATTTTGTCATCATATATCAATTGGATGTGAATATAAGAGTTGTGGGGTATTCGTCAATGAGACACAAACCAAAACTACATAAAATAAAACAAGACATACAAAGGTCAACATTTGTTATTCTTCCTGACACTGAATGGGAGCTTTCAGATGTAGGGCAATAGACTTCCCATTATTACAACAGTTTCAAAGCCGTAGAGAATGGCTGATGGATTAAACTTCTCAGCCTCTTTCACTGCAAAGGACGATACTGCTTAACAAGAGTTAAGATGCATTTTGTTTTAAAAGTTATCGCTTCGTTGTTGTTGTTTAGCCTATCAGTAGCTCAATGTTTATCTGCTTTGAAAGTAGACTACACATGTATTTCAAAAACTTAACGTAGTTATCAGTGGAATCTATGCAGGAGTGCACACAATATCATTTTGATAAACATGTATAACTTAATCACAAAATAACTACCGATTTACTGTATTCATTGTATTGCAATTGTTAAATGTACACATGGAAGGTTTACTAATGCACCCAATGAATATGTTTAATAGATAAATTTAGTTTTGGTTATCGATTTCACATATACTGGCATTTAATGGCGAGAATAGTTATAAATGCATGTACAATTTTAATTGAATAGTATCAAGGTATATCAACAAAGATTAAAAATGGCAGGTAATTATTTGCTTTTAAGAGACATTATAATCTTTTTTTCTGGATTATAACATCATTACACCTAAGCATTAACTTTTTATGCATGCAAGTACTCAGTCTTTAGTTTTATATGTAATTTTGTGTATACTATTGTTCATCTTTTCGTCGTATTTCGTGTTCGTTTTGTCATGTTATTGTCAGGTTTATTTTTTTTTTCGTTTATGAACTGTGATTGTCCCTTTGGTATCTTACGACTCTTTTCAGTTTCATGATATTTTTTTTAATAGTTTTATGAAGTTAATATATATATATATATATATATATATATTGCAATAGAATAATAATTTAAATGGTTATGGAAATGTTTTAAAAAGTAAATTGGACCTTTGTATTGTCAATTGTAGTTTAAACAATTACATCATCAAGTAAACTAACATTTTTACTAATTTAATGAGCGATATGCTTTCAGAAATAACATTTACTAAAGAAAAAAAGCTTAAAAGAAAAACACATTTGAAATATTTGAGAGCATTACAGCCATATGCGCATTTTGATAAAATATTTTTATACTTCAATCTAGAATTCCTTCTTCATGCTCGACTGATCCGAATGCCAATGTTGGCAATTGTCATTACTTGGCCTCCGTTTTCCTTCATCCGTTGTCGTCGATCGTTAACTATTATACAAATCATTTCCCCTGAAACTACTTGATCACCACAAACAAAACAATGTGTCTGAAGACACCGTCCGTCAACCAAAATGGCCAGCACCGCTTAAAATAGGACAACGGGGTTATGCAAGTATCGTCTAATATGTTGAGAACTATTATAGATGGAGAAAATGTGTCAACGCAAAAAATGTTTAGAATGCAATGAAAATATATAAATAAACATTCTGTATATTTTGACAAAAATTATCTCATTAAAGGAATTTTTTAGTTTTGTCTTGGAAGCTGTTATAATAGATAGAAAGAAATTTCAAATTGTGGAAATGAGCAGCAAAACAAGATCTTCAAATAAGTCAAATAGTATATATTGTCAATTAGGAGTTATTTCTCTGAAATGACGATTTGTATATATTTTTTCAGCCTTAAATGATCAGCCAAACTATATCTACTAATGACTCGACACCTTATAACACTTATTACCTTTCTACCCTTTTAAAACTGCGAACAGCAAAATAAAATCTACGAATAAGTAAAATGACTTTGATTATTTGTAATTATTGTTTCTAGTTGACCAATTTTATTGTTTTACCTGAAATCTTGAAAACTGTTGTGGATACGTTGAAATGCTAAACAACAAACATGTTCAGCACCACGAGATCTTCTTGATTGAATTTGTCAATAGATTCCTCACATGAGTTGTTTACACTATATTACAATTTAGGTCATATTTCATGTTAACCTAATATATTGAGGCTATTTTATAGACACAAATTCTGTCCAACAAAAATTATCAACAAGACAAGATTTTTACCGCATAGTTCCAATTTAGCACAAACATTTCTATTGTATTGTACAATTTTATGCAATATTGCCTGATCAGCAATCTCGGGCATCTAAAATACATTTCTCGTTGAATAAAACACTCTGATTTTTTTTATGTCCAAAGAAGCCAAACCTTTTAAAATCCATTTTACATTGACATGGCCTTTATTTTCATGAGCATTCAACGCAAACAATCATTCTTATGACACAAAATGGCAGTTGACATATACGATGGTATTTCTATTTTTAGTATATTTTGTATTTTCAGTGATATAGATTAAATGTTATCTATAACACTGTATAAGTTAGATATGATTACAAATTATTTGTTACATTAATCGGACTTTCAGTGCAACGTTTCAACTAGTTTCATCCTACTAAGGTTTCCTGTTAGGAAGACTTAGTAGTATTGGGAATCATACAATTTTGAATAGTGTAATGAGGCATTCATTGGTATATTAAAAGTACCGTTAAGAGCAACTTATATAAACAAAATATGCTTCATTTTGCAATTATAAATTATACCTTACATAGTGTAATGAATTTTTTAAATTTTTTTTTAATGTTAAACATATGATCCATGACTTTAATCAACGGAATGGACAAAACAAACACAAAATTTGAAGGAAGAAATTATCTAAAAAAAAAGGCTTTTTCATATGCGCAAAACCTTTAGAAAAGTGATAACTCCTTGCAATGTGCCCTTCTATCAAAGTATACAACTTGTAGTAAATTGCTTATGTAATGCTAATTTCCAACTCTCTTAAAATTGATGTCCTCTGTAATTTTACCACATGTAATCGGTATTTAAGACGTATATTATCGAAGTCAAGCCACGGCAATAATTTTTGAAGTAAAAAAAAAAATGTCAGATGAACATTTCATAATCATTTAAGGCTTCTTTTAACATTTATATGAATACTCAATTCAATATTGGTGATTTCGAATGTGTTCAAAGTTTTGATTTTTCTACCCTATATACCACTTTGCCTCATAATCTCATTAAGAAAAAAATCACACATCTACTTAAATGGTCATTTAAAAGTCAGAATGCGAATATATTTGTTCAAACTCTTTTAGGTCATTTTTTAGTAACAACAAACAAAAGAACTATGTCAATTGGACCTGCTTTGATACTATAACTGCACTTGAATTTTTACTAGAAAACATTTTTGTTCGCTATGGAGATTCCGTATATCGTCAAGTTATCGGAATTCCAATGGGGACTAACTGTGCACCACTTATTGCGGACCTGTTTCTGTATTGTTATGATTTACAATGACTAAAATAAGCAAAGACCCATCGAAACAACATCTGATACAAAATGTTTTAGATATTTGGATGATAGTTTGGTCTCAATAATGACGACTTCAGTATGTACACTAAAGAGATTTATCCTTCTGAACTGACTTTAAATAAAGCTAATACCAACATGAACACTGCCCTTTCCTGGATCTTGATATCTATATCTTTAACGGGGAGCTTAATACCAAAATTTACGATAAAATAGATGCTTTTTCATTTCCTATTGTTAACTATCCATTTTAGATGGTGACGTTCCAATGTCACCATCTTATGGTGTTTATATATCTAAACTTGTTCGATTCGCTCGTTTTTGTAACACCGTATTTGATTTTAACGAAAGAAATCTCTGTATTACTGAAAAATTATTGCACCAGGGTTTTCGATATCACAAACTAGTCAAAACATTTACTAAATTTTATCATCGATACAAGGACATCATTCGTAAATATAAATCAACACGTAGACATTTTATACGTTCAGGTATTTCACATCCAATCTTTTATGGTTATATTCTATACAAAGCAAAAAATATGTCGTCATTCACCTCAAAAGCTAACCAAACCTTTAAACAGACTTATTCAGAAGGGACATAGTTACGATACTGTTGTCAGGTCATTAAAGATGGCATATTTTGGACTCATAGGGTCTTTGCATCGGAAATAAACACATTTATTCTAAAACCAGTTGTTGGCATGATACGAATTATGTTCTTCTCATATATTTTATGATGGTATTATACTAAACCCCTAACGGGAGGGATTGTGCTTGATTTTCATATGATGAAGACATAATCTTTCAATCTGTTAAATTGAGGTCTGGAGCTGGCATGTCAGTAACTGCTAGTCGTCCTTTGTTAATTTATGTATCATTGTCATTTTGCTTACTTTCTTCTGTTACCTATTCTGACATCGGACTCGGACTTCTTTTAATCTGAGTTTTACTGTGCGTATTTCTGTGTGTTTGTATATTCTACATTGGCTAGAGTTATAGGGGAGTGTTGAGATATCACAAAACATGTTTAACCCCGTTGCATTTTTACGCCTGTCCCAAGTCAGGAGCCTCTGGCCTTTGTTAGTCTTGTATGTTTTTTTAAATTTTGTTCATTTATATGTTTCGGAGTTTAGTGTGACGACCATTTTTACTGCACTAGTACACATTTTTGTTTAGGGGCCAGCTGAAGCCCGCCTCCGGATGCGGGATTTACTCGCTGTGTTGAAGAACCATTGGTGGCCTTGGGCTGTTTTCTGCTCTTTGGTCGGGTTGTTGTCTCTTTGACACATTCCCCATTTCCATTCTCAATTTTATTATCAATGTACTCATGATTCAATTCGTTAAATGTTTCAACAAAATGCATATTGTTAGCCCTATACGAATATTTGTGTCAAAACATTGTGGGATCAAAAAAGTATGTAAGAATAATAAAAATGATGAATACCACTAGGGGCAATTTAACAAGCAACACGTACATTATATCTAACAATCATCAGTGTAGCCTTTGGAAAGGGCCTTGATTTACGTTACCGTGACACAAATATCGTGAAAGTATACAAACATACCGGTGTTGCCGAGGGACAAAAAAATTGTGTTTTACCTCAATAAATTATATTTACGAATGGAATTTGAATCAATTCACCCAAACTACAAAAAGTTATGTTTTATTTTATTCTAAAGATATCATATTGTTTAAACTTTGTTGAGAGATTTGTTGTTGCAATAAAAAAAAATAACATAATTCATGGGTCTTGTGTTACGAATGAGCAGGGAGATTTCGTACGTGCATACGCCTTGTATAGTAAATTATGAATATCTGCGGCAGAAAGCCTATTTACAAGACCAAAGAACTTATGGCTTAGTTATAATGGGCTGTATAAGAGGGAGAATTTTGCACTAACAAACTAGTTTAACCCCGCCACATTCTGTATGTGCCTGTCCCAAGTCAGGAGCCTGTAATTCAGTGGTTGTCGTTTGGTGCTGTATGTTATATACACAAACTAGGCCGTTAGTTTTCTCGTTTGAATTGTTATACATTTGTCATTTCGGGGACTTTAATAGCTGATTATGCGGTATGGGTTTTGCTCATTGTTAAGGGCCGTACGGTGACCTATAGTTGTAAATTCTATGTCATTTGGTCTCAGTTGTCTCATTGGCAATCATACCACATCTTTTTATTTTATATTTATCGGTAATTTGTACATTTTTCCTTTTGTCTTACTGCCTAATTTTTTTCAAAATGCAGCAGCTAGATAAATTTACGATATTTGATTGATATTTCAGATATATCTTATTAATTCTCAGCAATCATGCTACTTACAAGAGTAAATAATTTTCAGATGAGCAATGTGTAATCTACAGAGTGTCTAATTTAATTTTATGAGTATTTGTTCTTTATCATGTTTTAATTTTATTACAGATATCACCACTAAATGCATATCGTTAGCTCTGTACCAATATATGTGTCAAAATATTGTGGGATCAGAAGATTATGTAAGGACAATAAGAATGCTGATAACTGTTCGGGACAATTTAATTACCAACGATTCAAACGTCGTTATTACCGGTGGAAGTTTTGGAGAGGGTCTTGATCTACGCCGAGGAGACATAGATATTGTACAAGCGCACAAATGTATCGATGTTTCTGAAGAAAGAAAATTCGCTTTTGACTTTCATAAAACATATTTGAAAATGGAAACTGAAACAATACATGCAGGCTATACTATGTTACATCTTATATTTTCTCAAAATAGCAACGAATTTCAACTCTGTAAGGAGTTAAATGGGAAGTATTACTTTTCAAACGCATTATTTAAGCAAAAGTTTTTAGACAGTAAAAACAGGGTTAACATTATTCACGGACCTTGTCTTTCGACTGAACAGGGAGACTACGACTTTGCACACGCATTGCATAGTGAATTTTGGATATCTGCTGCAGAAAACTGGATAACAAGATCGACAAACTTATGGCCTAGTTATGTGGTCAAGCAGAGTATTGTAAAACATGGTGTATTGTTTGTACCAGTAGGTTATAATGGATCACCAAGGGAAGAACTTCAATGGAGGATATCCTTCAATGTGGGCGAGAAACTATTAATTTATACCTTTACACATACACAACTGCTGTGCTATTGTCTGATGAAAATTCTTCTGAAAGACGTAATAAATGAACACATGGACGTAGAATATCATGAATTACTCTGCTCTTATATCCTTAAAACTGTTGTTTTCTGGATCTCTGAGGAAATGCAACCATCCATATGGAAACCTACAAATCTGATACCTTGTTTTATGGGATGTTTTAAAAGATTGATTTATTATGTTGAATTTTCAGTTTGTCCGCATTACTTTATACCACAAAACGATTTATTTGAGAATAGGGTCAAAGGGCGTGCACGTGAGGTTTTGTTAAATGCACTACGTTCATTTTATAGACATGGATGGCGATGTTTCAAATTTTCAAAAAATATATTTTGTTTGCAAGTCCGAAGATTTTACACTGAACCTTGTATCAAATATTTAGAAAGAATAAAATTAAATTTTTCTGAATTAATTCGAACAGACGCTGCCTTGCTCAACTCATATAATCACTTACAAAAAGCTTTTACAGGAATGCATCCGTTGCTTTCATATAAAAATCCGAAAATAGTGTATCTTAATATATACAGCCTGTCAATGATATGTTCACAAAAAGCTCAAACGATACGATTGACTGGGGCGTATGGCAACAAAAACTGCTACTTGAAATATAAAGCCTGCCAGTATAATTTGATGCAGAATATTTACCATGATGCAGCATCTGGTTGGCTTTTGATAGCCTCATTTTTCTATAAGCGAAAGCAATACAATAAAGCAATGTATATCATATCGAACTGTGTGATCTTCAAGCTATATCCAAATTCAGAAATGATACACACATTTATTCAATTGTGCGCTGTAAAATCATTCCAAAAGAGATTATTAACGCTTTTGAAAATAGAGCGTTGTGATTTCGTGCGGTTTAAATCAAAGTCAACGCTTTTACCTCAGGAACTACAATTGGAAATAAAAGACATATCACATCATTTTCCAGCAACTATGTACACTCATTTTCTCCGTTTTCTTTGCCATTATCATTTGACCAATCGTCTAGAATGTCGTGATTCTCTAAGAGATCTTCAAAGAACTATAACGAAATCAGACCGTATAATAACTCCGACGGCAAAAGCTGTATCGTACATTTGCCTTGGAAAAGCATTTCAGCTTCATGGAGATAAAGATTCAGCTACGAATGCCTTTCATCAGGCGTATGAATTTGAATCGTTTGGTGTAAAGAAAATTGCCCAAAAAAGACTCTCGCTGATAAAGTGATATTAACATTAATCTGATAAAGAACATTATCGTGGTATGTTAAGAATTGTACTTCGTGTCAACACACGATTGAAAGTTCAATATCTGATTACAGAAAAGCACATATTGTTGTAACGTTTTTGACACTTGTTCAAATTTAAGGACTGGAAAAATCTTAATTGTCCACAAATATTTCCACGTTAATAAGACAATTATCAAATGCAGACAATTTAGGGCTTCGCATATTGCATGGACTATTGTCTATTGTTGAAGACTGTGTTGTGTTGTTCCAAGATTAAGATCTACAAATTAATCTAATGACCGAAATTGACTCTTTATTTAAGGTATTGATTTTAAATGATGATTTAAACAAATTTTTAGTGTTTTTGCTTATTATGTAGAAAACTGTTATAGATAGATAGACAGACACTTAACGTAGCAAAAATGATCAGCATGACAAGATCTACAAATATGTCAGCATGGCTGAAATCGTCAGTCGACTCCTTGTTGGAGTGCTTGCTCTTTAATGACGATTTTTACCATTTTTCGGCGTTTTTGCCTGTTATCTTGAAAACTGTAAAAGATAGATACACACATTTTAAATAACAAAAATGATCAGCAAGACAAGATCTACAAGTAAGTCAATTTTTTCCTCAATCGTTAGTAGACTCTATAGGAGTGATTGCCTTTAACTGAATATTTTTTACCCTTTTTTGTGTGTTTTGGGCAAATACTTAAGAAGATAGAGAGAAAATATAAATAGAAAAATGATCAGCAATACAAGATCAACAAAAAAGAGATTTTTGTCATGAATTCTATTCTAGTCTAAAATGTTGGAGAGTTTTCATTGTTGAGGATGCACATAGACCTAGATGATGAGCGACCCAGGCTCTTTAGAGCCTTCAGTTGACAGGATTTATGGGAAGTTGACCATATTATTAGGATTGTGATAATAACATCTCGTGCAAGGAACTCCCGTTTTACAGAACGCTCTCAAATCATTTAGTTGCTAGAATTCTCAGTTTTGAATTCTAGTTAAACTGTTTTCAGACATGAGCATCCTGTAACATATATATTCTTAAAATCATCATATTTTTCGAATTAACAAAACAGATGACATTCCTGTTTTATGATGACGTAGTTTTGGGCAGATAACTCCAGACCGACAAAATTTTACGACTCACAGGGTAAGTTCCGGATAGTTACTTGTGACACCAAACTTCGTAGAGTGATCGTTTCCGTTCCGGAACTATTTTCCTTTACTCCATCAATTGGTGCTAGAATTTTGCTTCAGGGCAGGACAAAATATAAAATGTAACTGGGACTTATATACATGAATATTTAGATATTGGTTCCAGCTCTTTTTTATTATCCAGAATTGGTATCATGTTCAAAATAGAAACTATAAAGGGCCCATTAAGAGTATATAAATGAGGTTCTTAATGGGGTTAACAGAATAAAGAATAATGGACCAAAAACATAAAGTTATAGGGGAACATTTTTATTATTATATGACTATAAATTTACTGGATAATAATGGGTAAAAATAAAATGAAGAACAAAAAATGTTCTTGAAAAAAATAGGAATACAGAAATGAAAATGCTCCCATCCAGACCATTGTAAATTAATACATAGAATAAAAGCAAAATCCATAACAACTTTAGTACATTTGTGTTGTATTTGTTTTCACAATGAAGTATACCATATATTTACTTTTCAAGTTATAATAATGATTGTTTTATTTCTTTAATCCATGAAATTATACCTGAAGTGAGTTTTGAAAAGTTCAGAGATTGGTATGTAAATGGAGTCTTAATAATACTAGTTGGAAACCCTAACTCAAGTTGGCTTAAATAACCTGTTTGTGGCCTTGTGTCAATTTTATATTATTTTGACCCCCTCACCTTTAAAAAAATCCAAAATTTATCCCTGCAGTCCAATTTTGGATTTTATAAAATATCTTTAATTTCATATGGAGCCGCTTTTCGGGAAAACAACATTTTTTTCTATATATATATATCTGACACCTATTATTCGTACGTTGAAGAAATCCTTTTTGGCGTCGGACTTGAGGTAAATCGTGAAGACTGTGAGTGGTCTACAAAAGAGTTTTATTTGCTGATGATTGGGTTGTCAGTATATTAAAGGGATGAATAATTGTTATCAATAGCTAAAACCCTAAATATTTTTTCAACTGCACATACGTGCAGACGTCAAACTACAGATATGATTTTCTGTTTCTCCAGTGACGAAGGTTTTATTTTTGCAAAGTTGATCGAGTTAAAACCAGAATTGGTATATACAGAAATTTCAAAAACTTTTATTTTGTGATATTATTTGGATTGAGTGCTTTTTTACTTACAATAATTGTTTTTGTCCATTTATACTGGTAAAGTTGGTAAAAAATATTCTCATTTATCAATGTTCATCCATATTTGCTTCAGTAGCAACGAAAGTTCAATCCGGGTCAAACAGCTTGAAGATCGAATTACGAAGAAAAGCCGAAGGCAGTGATTAGTGTAGAGTAGTACGCGGATCGGAGCTGGAACTGCCGGGGAGTTTGTTGTGACACCGATACAAAGTGTGAAGATGAAAGCGACATATCTTACGGTTACGGAAAATTTTGTCAAAGTTTGGCGGAAAAAAAGAGAATAATAATAATAATAATAATAATAATAATAATAATAATAATAATAATAATAATAATAATAATAATGAAATTGTCAATTGTTCGTGAACAATTGAGAGGTCTTTCCTTTTTCATATTGTAAAATATACAGTCTTAGAATTGTTGAGCATACATACTGGTGGCCTTAAATTCTTCTCTACCCTTAGCAGGATTCTGCAGGTAAGGATCAGATTTGTATCAGGGCATCACATTTTTTATGCCTTTTTTGCAATGCATTTATCAATTAAAAAATCTCCATGCAGGATAGACACCCGAATTGACAGATATTTACTATATTCATATAAGCACGCACATATCTTAGTTACCCGAAACTATAAAATTTAATTGCATTGTTACATTGTACTTGAATAATTTTCGGAAAAAAAATAAAATTCTAAATCAATAAAAGTTTGAAGATTTGATATGAAATAACTTGTTTCTGACATCCAAAAAATGTGAACGTCAGGGCTGATATCTCCGAAATAATTGAAAAGTATTTCCTTTTGAAAAAAATATACTTGCACAGACGACTCAGAAAGCTTACAAAAACACACGAAACCCTCAAATTGGAATGTGGAGCAGGATATGCTTACCCTTCCGGAGCACCTAAGATCACCCCTGGTTTTCAGTGGGGGTTTCGTATTGCTCAGTCCTTAGTTCTCTATGTTGTGTTTTGTGTACTGTTGTTTGTCGTTTGGTCTTTTCTTTTTTTGCCATGGCGTTGTCAGTTTATTTTTCGACTAATGAGTTTGATAGTCCCTTTTGTATCTTTCGCCTCTCTTATCAATCAGTTCCTGTTCTCTCCTAAGATAGTTTTGACCAGAGAAAAGTTAGAACTTATATGTAAATTGAATGGAGTGCTTCTCTTATCTATCATAGGTCACTGACGTGATCTCGGACAGAAAATAAAAGCAATGCGGTATACTTTATAGATATAAGAAGATGTGGTATGAGTGTCAATGAGACAACTCTCCATCCAAGTCACAATTTGTAAAAGTAAATTATAAGTCAAAGTACGGTCTTCAACACGAAGCCTTGGCTCACACAGTACAACAAGCTATAAAGGGCCCCACAAATGACTAGTGTACTAGTTTACTAAGATTATATTAATTGAATTGGTAAAATTATAGTGCCTGGCAAGATTTTGGGAGGTACACGAATATAACCTTAAAATTATCAAATTGACTTTTCATGTAAAAAAAACGCATTATTTACTAACTGCTTTGGTTTGTGATAGATTGGAAAGCTTACAACATTTTAAGGCTAACCAATGTAATTTTCTGTTAAGTTACTAGGATTTAAAACTAGATTTTAAATCTCTTATCCGCAGTGGTCTGGTTTATAGTTGTCTTTGTGTTATCTTAAAATATTTGCGGTATTTAGCTGCAGCATACGTCACCAAACTCACAGTGACGTACTTCCTTTTTTCAACAACATTGGAAGAGAAAATACGTGGTTGAAAGGCTAAGAATTATTTCATTTAATCTGTGTCCATCGATGTTTAATTTGTTAAAGAAATAACTTAACATAGTGAAATAAATAAGAAAAGGGCTTTAATTTTGTAGGATTAACTTTATTGCATCGTTGTTTGTACAATTTAAGCGCAAAATTAGAATTATATCATAGCCATGAGACGTGCGTAATTATTTCGCACAACGGCCACAGTTCCGTAGAATTGTCTTGTGTTGGAAGAAAGATTTTTTTTTTATAATTGATTTATTTATATAGAGAAAACTTTGTCGTTCGCAATTTTATTGCGCACATGCGATATTTTGTTTCCCGATTTTGTATAGTATTTGGCGTATGCATGAACTTTAAATCGATGAAATATGTTCATAGTCTTAAGTTATTTTGAATTGCCAGAAACATCAAGTCTGATATTTAAAGCTTGTGTGCATTGTAGAAACGTTAAATTTTAGATGTTTGCCTGTTTGTATGCAAGTCTGATTGTTGTGATTACACGTTTGTTTATGAATATTGTAATCGTCTGTCACTGTTGTCAGGTTTTAATTACATGTTTCATCAGTGATTACTTGAATGATAAGAGATTATTTTATTCATAAGTGATTATTTGATTCATAAGTGATTACGTGATTCATAAGTGATTACTTGATCCAAATGTGATTACTTGATTCATATGTGATTACGTGATTCATAGGTGATTACTTGAATCATAAACGATTATTTGATTCACAAGTGATTATGCAATTCATAAGTGTTTACGTGATTCATAAGTTATTATGTGATTCATAAGTAATAACGTGATTCATAGGTGATTACTTGATTCATATGTGATTACTTGATTCATATGTGATGACTTAAGTCATAAATGTAATCATTTGTAAAAAAAAATCAAAAAAAAAATCTGCATACAATATTGATTACTTAAATTTATTCTGAGCATAGGATAAATAATTGATTATTGCATGATTACCATCCTTTACGTACAATGTATGTCAATTATTTGTATGGTACAATGTTTTTGTTTAAACTTTGCATACACCAACATCAAGTATTTGGTTTTATAATTTTGATATATTTGTTAATGCAATTTTTGACAAGTATAATATACAAATTTTACATGCGGTATAACAAATACTCGGTAAAATTTAATTTACTAACGTACATGTTTTATTACAGTTTACAAGATGTTTCGGAGATCTAATAGAAAGAGAGCTGCCCCTCCTTAGAGATACAACAAAGCAGCGTCAGCAGCAAAAAAGGTGACAGCGCCTAGATCATCTGTTGGTAGCCTTCAGCATTTGTCAGAACCCATTGTTAATGGTGACGATAGGAATAGTTTATGCTTGATAAACATGCCTGTCAGTGGTTTTTCAATGCCTGGAGTTGACACAACACATATGTCAGGGACCCATACAGCGGTGTCGGTGCCCACAACAACGGCTCCTCCAGTATTCAGTACTCCTACTCCTGACACTACAGGTAATACTCAGTTGACAACCCATCAAAACTTTATTTTACAATCTACCAAAGCAAGTGATGAATTGGGCATGCATATATCAATTGCCAATAAAGAGAAAATAGCTAATGGGGAATTTATTGATTTGGCATGTTTATTGCAAAATACAAATATTCAAAACAATTCCATTAAACAAACCATATGCTTTGTGCAAGGTGAATTGGTGTTGCAACAAAAACAACAGCAGCAAAAAATTACAAATATTGATCAGTGGACTGATGCATTTCTAGTTTTTATAAGTGTATATTGTCTAGCTCATCCTGAAAAGTTTCAAGAGTTGTTGAAATACACTAACAACATCAGAATAGCTGCTAAAGGATGTGGTTCATATAGTATAGGGTGGAAACAATATGATGAACAGTTCAGATTGAAAATATCTCAGAACCCAACTGCATCATGGGCAGAAATAGATTTGGAGTTGTGGTTAATGTATATCAATCAAAACAATAATGCCACAGAGTCAACAGTTCGAAGCATATACAAGTGCTATGCTGTCAATTATAATGGTTCTTACACTAGATTTAATTGTACGTATAGTCATTCATGCATTAGATGTTTTGCTGCTCATCCTTTGGTATCTTGTCCTCTGGGGATGGTAAATAAATATCAAGGTAGAATGTTGGGTGGAACTCGTCCAACTTTTATTGCACGGCCTCGTTTACAGTTGAGACCTCAGGATAATTATTCTTTCAGGACCCCACAGTTGTATTCAAGACCAAGATATCAAGGACCAGTTATGGGTCAAAGGTCATACTCCAGTTAAAGTTCATGTTCTTGAAAAGTATTTGACTAATTATAACAATCGTCATGATGCAGAATTATTGTTTACTGGATTTAGGAATGGCTTTCGTTTAAATTATGTTGGACCTAGGCTGTCCGTGTGGTCAAAAAACCTCATTTCAGCTGAAATGTATAAAAATGAAACTAAAATGAAGCTGGCAAAAGAAGTTGAATTGGGCAGAATGTTGGGACCATTTACAGAAAAACGTATTTCTACCTTGAGAATTTCA